TTTGAACACATACCGGTAGGATTACTCTTTAAATGCGCGTTCACGTCTTGAGCGCATTGAGACTTCGGTATAACTATATAAATCTAATTATGTGTTAATTTATTTGACAATTATAAATTGTGGTGGGTGTGGTGTAGCTTAAAAAGACAATGTGTCCACTTTTATTGTTTTTAATTCATTTTAAAATTTACTTTGCATGGATAGATTTAACCAACCGGGTTGGAATTTGAAAAAAAATGATCAGAATTCTTTCGTTTTTTTTTTTTTTACATTTAGAATACAAATGAATCCGTCTTTGACATCATGTGCACTCTTACCAGAAAGCTTGTCTACGACTACAACACCTGAGAAAAACGTCCATGAAACTTGTAATATGTGCTGCCACGGGCCGCCTGGGCAACCTGGGATTCCTGGAGTTCCAGGAACATCTGGAGGGTTGGGTCCAGCTGGACCATCTGGTAGTAAGGGTGACAGAGGTGAGTTTGTCCGAGGTGAAAAGGAGATGGAGGCGAAAAAGGAGAACCGGGAAATGAAGGTTCAAAAGGTAATAAAGGAAGCGAAGGATCTCCAGGTAAACAAGGCCCGCTTGGACAAATAGGACCTTAAGGACTACAAGGGAACAATGGATCAAAAGGAGAAAAGGGCGAATCACCGGAAGTCCGTAAATCTGCGTTTACTGCAGTACGCACCACTGAAGTACCCACTTCAGAATCGATCATTCTATTCACGTCAATGGAGATTAATGTCGGAGAAGACTTCGATAAGAATACCGGAAAGTTTACATGTAGAATTTCAGGTTTCTATTACTTCATGTTTAGTTTTTTGTCGCTAAGTGGTATTGCTCCGTATGTTAAAATGAAGTTAAATGGGCGAGATATCACAACCGTACATCGTAGTACCACTACTAGTAATGATCTGGAGCAACAGTTCAGCTGAATGTCGGCGATGAAGTCTGGCTGACGAACGGAGGTAGTGAAGTCTATGGTCATTCAAGCCACCCTCTTACCTTTACTGGGTTTATGGTATACGATATGAACTAATAAATTATGTACTTTGCATTTGTTATGATTGTAGATGTGCAAGTAGTTCTGCAGATTTTTCGGAGAGAGTTTTGATTGAATACAAATAATAATAATAATAATAATAATAATAATAATAATAATAATAATAATAATAATAATAATATTAATAATAAAAATAATAATAATAATAAGAAGAAGAAGAAGAAGAAGAAGAAGAAGAAGAAGAAGAAGAAGAAGAAGAAGAAGAAGGAGAAGAAGAAGAAGTCTACATGACAACGATAATTGATGCCACTAAGCCTGCTGTACGTTCATGCGACCGGTGTATGTTTGCGATTACCACTGTCTGCATTCATTTGATCAAAGTACGATTACACAAAGTAAAAATGTATACGTTGACATTATAAATATAAACATATTATTCGATTATTTCGAGCACTCATGTGCACTTCCTCAGCAATAACACCTATAATACGTGGTTAAGAGATTATTGTAAGATTCAAGCCTTGCGCATGCGTAAAATCAGTGAGCATCCGCTTTTCCGAGATCGTGACTTGTTTTTTTTTTTCATATTGGTGCAAAGTTTAAATCGTTGATAATTAATTTTCCAGTTACACACAGACATATTATAATAATTATCGCTATGTTAAAGATACCCAGCAAAAACGTTTTCAAAGTATTCACCTTGGCGGAACCTACGTAACTCCTTCTCTCCTAATAGCAGGGGTGGCGTCAGCGGGAAAGGGGAAGGTCCCTACATCGGGGAGAAAAAAAAAACACAATTTGTCGGGGAAAAAATCTATTAAATAAGCCTTGGAAACCTCTAATTTGTCATATTTTCCATGGTTTCACCCCCTCGATCACTTTGAAATAATATTGAGTGACGCCCGACCACGCCCACTTTGCTCTCGTCGGGGACATCGGCCTACCCGTCTGGAAAATAATGGCGCCATCCCTGATTATTATTATTATTATTATTATTATTATTATTATTATTATTATTATTATTATTATTATTATTATTATTATTATTATTATTATTATTTTATTTATTTTATTTTATTTTATTTTTTATTTTTTTTATTTCTCCGAAAACAGTGTCATAGGTCAAAAAAGTAATGCATTACAATAGAAGGTTACATCCCAATGCAAAATAGGCCCTATTAAATGTGTTGCAACATTCTAATGAACTATACAATAAACACCTTAGCAAATTGAAGACAACGACAATTGTGAGTCAACAATTTTGTTTATAATGCTGACACAGTGGTTTAAAAAAAATATAGTAAAAATTGAATTATACACACACATTACAGTCTAAAAAATTATAATGAATTTAAACATTCTCTATTTATTATATGTATTCTCTTAAACTTAGAATGTGAATAACAATGATATAATAATAATAATAATAATAATAATATAATAATGACAATAATAATAATAATAATAATAATAATGATAATAATAATAATAATAATAATAATAATAATAATAATAATAATAATAATAATAATAATAATAACAATTAAAATAATACTGTAATATATTAATATTAAAACCGAACCACAATATATCAGTCACCGATTTCATGTGCCATTTGCAATTTTTGTCTTTGGTTTTATGGTTTTTTGGAATTGATCACTCAGCAATTATGCTGATTTGGGAGACCACTGCTTTGACTAGTGGTGTACAACGCCCATGCGCTCTCGTGTGGCAGTCCCCTGGGCACCCGACTTCTGGGGACCCCAAGTCCTATATCAAGGAAGGAAACATTTTTAGTTGGGTCTGCATATGTTACATTTATCTTTGAATGTTTTATTCCAAGTGTTTAGAATGAATTATTGCATGCTGTTACTGATTCCTAATAAACCATTTAATAATAATAATAATAATAATAATAATAATAATAATAATAATGTTATTTATTCTTAATAAAGAATTTTTTTGAAATCCAACCATCAATTCCTGTACTTGTTCTGCAACTTTCCATTAAAATAATAATAACATCACCACTGATTTATCGTTACTCAATATACACAAAACATCATCTTATGTGCATTTTTGTATGTTTAATCCCTATAACAAAATTTATTATAGAAAAAAATTACATTAGACCCGTATACCATCACTATATATTTCATAGTGGTCTTCAGTTGGAGGGAATATGTTCATTTGGCTCTGCCCAAACCATGATCGTTAGTCCCTAATAGAGGGAATGTTTAATTGGAGGGGGCAGTTATTGAAAGATAGGAATTTAAATAAGTTGGGGGGGGGGGCCGGCACAGAAAGGGGTCTTTAATTGGAGGGGTAGAAAGTGGTCTTTAATTGGAGGGGTCTTTAATTGGAAGGAGACCTGTATTCCCAAATGAATATTATAATACAGATCACAATGATGAATGTTGCTTGACGAATAAAACATTGAATTGAAATATTGTAATGTACGTGTTTCTGCCATTTCATCCAACGTATATGCGCGCAAGTTTTGCAGTGAACCGGCAGTGAACTACTTACAACTGACCAATCAGAACAGCATTAGCAACAGTATCCAATGGGTGGGGCTTAGCGAGAACGAACGGCAGTCATGGCTTATGACGTTACAGTGACAGTTTTTGAACCAGACTCTTTCGTCAACTTTGAATATGAAAGTTATATCAGAATAAATCAGACTTGTTAATTGTATGCCTATAAATTCTACTTGATAACAAAATGCAAAAATAGAGCTACATTGCAATTATCTTAGCTCGTCTTAACACTCTTCTCTTTTAGGGCGCCCACTTTTTCAGATATGATTAGATCAGGAAAGAGTTAAAGGTTAGACTAGTAGTGGCTACAGAAATTTGCGCCGACAGGGGGTCCGACATGTCCGACAAAGGTGTCCCGAACCAAAGCCTCGGTGAGATTCCCGGAATATACATCTCTAGTAGGGTTCACTGGGAGGAGAGTTTTGATAGCTTATTATATCCCTGCTCTTATGGCAATAAAACGTTATTTGGATGATAAGCAAATTATTATTTTGATCCGACGACCTCGCCAGGAATCCCCCACCCTTGGCGTCTGACAAGGTGGGGAAGGGTTGAGGTGTCGTCTTGGCCTTTCAACGGGGATTCTCAGTCTAGGCCTTTCAACGGATCTC